CTTTGACTACTTTTTCACAGTGGCAGGGCCTCGCACTGTCATGTCAGATACACTGATTATCTTCCCATTCTAGCTCTCCAAGCAAAAACATATAATTTAGAACAGTTCCTGCTATCACCTCATCTGCTAACTTTTGTGACATTAGTTTGTGCTGTCCATAGGTAGCTGGTCCTAAGATACCTCTTGGAGGAATATCTGTGACATTGAACAGATATGGCCCTCTACTATATACCACAATGTTAATCTACATTGTGCTCTGCATTTTGCAGGCCATTTAAAGAATGCAAGACGATGTATGGTGTCTGAGGTGTCCCCTGGAGTTCTCTCTGCTGTTTTTGTTTTTTTAAACTTTCTGTATTTCTTTAGAGTAAGGGAGGATTATAATCCCCAGCAGTTTTTTTTGCCATCTGTGTCCCAATGGGGAGATTTCTCTTCACTTCCTGTTGGAAGGCTCAACATTTATTTTTAAATATACTGTATATAGATACATTTTTGGACTGTTAAGGAATAGTTAGACTAAAGCCATCTGGATTAGCAAGATTATCTAGCGGTGTGTGTATAGCAGAAGGGTGCATATAAGATCCTCATCTGAGAAAGGATTCATGTATACCCCCTGGGGGCAGTGGGGTGTGGGAGATGAGAAAGCCTCATGTCAGACATCCTGGTGATGCGGAGATTAAAATGACTGATGTACTGACCTGCAATAAGATCAAAGGAACCAGATTTGGACTGGAATGTTGACCTGAGTGAAGGCATTTTGATCACAGGGTGCCATTGCCCACTAGTGGAGAGCAGCAACATACTTCCTGGAGGATGGTCTGGGTAATACCATAAATCCTAGTGATTAGAGAGGACAACCCTTTATAATTTTTGAATTGTTGCCCATTGGACAGAGGACTACACAGGGTGGACAGAGGATGTTTGCATGGGGTGTGTCTGCGAGTGCTTTAAAATGTGAGGGCCAAGGATGAACGGCCTATCTTCCTGGAGCCCAGCCACGATACCCAGCTTTGAAGAAGTACTCACATAACATATCATCTCTGTTCTTTTATTTCTATATGCGCTCTAAAATCCTTTTAGATTTCTGTGTTAATGTTTTACTTTCCTTAGTTAACAAAACAGTCCTACTCCCCGTCTGAGATCTTTGGAAATCACTGAGCGCCGGCGAGTAATTACCGCCGATTGATAGCCGTGGCCGCGAATGGCAGCGTGGGTAGGGCGGACGGGAAGTGGTTAAAGTGTTATTAAAGGTCCAGCATTTTTTCTTTAAAAATACCAATCATATTTACCTGCTTTGTGCAATAATTTTGCACAGAGCAGCCCCAATCCTCTTATTCTTGACTCTCCCTCCAGTGTTTTGGGCTACTCCCACCTGCTGAGTGCCCCCACAGCAAGCTGCTTGCTCTGGGGAACTTCTGCATGCTCACTACTGAGCCCGGCTCTGTGCACCCATAAGACACATAGAGCCACAGCTCTGCCTCCCCCTATCCAGCTCTCTCCTCATTGGCTCACTGGCTTTGATTGACAGCAGTGGGAGCCAATTGCTCCCTCTGCTGTCTCAGCCAATGAGGAGAGGGAGTCCTGGGACAGCTTAGGCTCTCCTGCACATCAACGGATCGAGAGGGGGCTCAGATGAGTATTAGGGGGGCTAAGGGGGGAGCATCAAACAGAAGGTTTTTTACCTTCATGCATAAAATGCATAAAGGTAAAACAAACCTCCTGCCTTTACAATCACTTTAACAAGGTTTTTGCCTGGTCTGTGGTTCCAGAATCCAATTCAATGTAGTATAAGTCTGGCCTAATGTATCAAAGTCATTGGCCCTCAGAATAACTCTTGGGGTGGGAAGGAGCCAGAGAAAAAAATATCTTTTAAAAAAGTCACAGCTTAGGCTTTCGAATTTCAGAACAATAAGGTTTCCCTGTGTTCCTTACTCAATTTTGGGGTTCCTTTTGGGTTTATTATCTTCACAGCAACTAAATGAAAGGCAATCTAATCAGAAATCTGTGCAGTCTTGTAGCGCTCTCCTCTTGTCACTTGTGTTCAGTTCCTCCTTGTCTCTGTTTGCAACAAAGACAAATTCCTTGTATGCCTGTACATATTTGGACAATAAAGCTCATTTGATTCTGATACAGGTTGGTGTTCCTAGAGCCACAGGGCCATGAATGTGTTTATGCCTGCTTTGTTAAGGCCAATCTTTATACAATTCTGCACTGGTCAAGTAATTAGAGAGATTCAAAAATACCCTCCCCCCTCTGAAAATACCAACCTCATTCAGATGTTTAGCAGGCTCTTTGGCACCACTATTGCCCTAAAAAGGTTATGCTCCATTAAACTGTTACCTCAACCCTCTCGAACTGGTGATCCCAAATCATATATTTTTTTAATCAAGAAAAAATAGTTATTGAAGACATGGGCATGTACATCTAACATAACACTGTACATCCAAAGGAGAAATGGAGTGTGATACAGTGCATAGACTGCGTTTACAGAAACTAACATTACAGCAATACAAGAGATAAAACATAAGGCACCGTTAATTGAAAAATTTAATTTTGTCTGACACAAAGCATGCTAACATTACCATGTCAACCAAGAATTATACAAGAAAAGTAGTGTAACCTGAAAGTTCCTGAGACTAAACTTCAAATTCTTATCATCTGGCAAAGAATACAGAGAATCTGTGAAGATCCCTCCTACATGGTCTATCCCTGAAAAAGCCTATTTCAAATCAATTGGTGTAGTGCTAGGCCTGGGACATCCAGCCAAGGCTGCCATAAAGAACAAAAATTTCCTGGGTAAATTTTTATGTTGATATGTGAGTTTTTCCCGAAAAAGCATACCATTTACTTGTTCCACCCACTGTTTTTTAGTTGGTATTTGGTCAGACATTCAGTACCGAGCTGTCAATTTACGAGCAATATATAATAAAGGTAGAACCACTACATGAGTTTGTGGCGTGAGCGATTGCTTATCCAAAGCACCCAACACACAGACAATAGGGATGCTTGGGAGTGGGAATAGAAACACTTGGGATATGGTAGTAATAACTTCTGACTAGTAGCAGAATAATTTGGGACAACTCCAAATCCTGTGCAAGAGAACCCCAATATCCTTTTCGCACCTTGTTCACAAAGGGTCAGATCTGTTCCCTCATTTATTTAACCTGGCATGTGTCCTATAAGCCCTGTGTAAGGGGTATAACTGGGAGAGTTTCTGGGATGATGATACAGATACTAGAGGGGTGAAGGTTAGGCAGAGTTCCCAGACAACACCTTCAATAGGACCCAGATCCTTTTCCCAACCCTTTCTGCAGGGCAAAAAAGAAGCATCATGGGTGGAGGCAAGAAAAATGGAGTACACCCTGGAAATCATACCCTGCTTTTCTCATTCCATAAGTACTCCTGACATCAGAGGGTGTTCTGTTAGATACAATTGGGCAGGGCCGTCTTTAAGGAGGGGAAAAAGGGTCCGCTGCCCTGGGCCAGTCATTGTTGTGAGGTTCAAAGCAGCTGCCCCATACTTGCCAACTGTACTGGTTCACATTCCCTTGTCCCTTGAAGTCTTTGTCCCAGGCTGTGTCTGATATCTCAGTGTGAAGTGCTGCCCAGCTCTGTTCTAAAATGTATTAGTTGTTGGTGTAAAATCCACCATTATATTGGTTGTCGGTGTGAATTCTTCATTGGTGGTCAGCGAAAATTCCCCATCACATTGGTGGCCAGTGTAAATTTCCCTTTACATTGGTGGTAAGTGCAGAATTTCCCTAAAACTGGTGGTTAGTGTAAATGCCCCTTACATTGGTCATTAGTTTGAATCTCCCCGAACATTGGTGGTTGGTGTAGAAATGTTACTTACCATCACCATCCAGCACTGCCAATGATCCCATCCTCTCCAAGCACTGCCATTGATCCCATTACCGCACACACACACTGTCACTCATCCCATCCCCCCATCAGCACTGTCACTCATCCCACCCCCCCAGAAATGCCACTGATCCCACCCCCCCTCAACTGCCACTAATCACACCCTCCCCCCCAGCACTGCCATTGATCCTAGCAGTCCTTTGAGTTTTGACAACCGTCAAGGGAAGTTTTGTCTAAGAAGCACACTTAGAGCAGAAATTGCGTAACAAAGGCAGCAAATTCAGCTCTATGTATTGAGTAGTGTCTGAGGTAACCTGTATGCCCAAATAGCGGAAGAAGGATATTATCTGCACTGCACTAGCACAGGCAGGTAGAGGAGCTATAATGGGGTCTAGTGGCATAAGAACTGACTTACTCCATTTATCTGAAAACCCGGACAAAGCCCCAAAATCTTTAATAAGAGATATAGCATTTTGCAAAGATCCTTGAGTGTCCCCTAGATAAAGCAGTGTGTCATTGGCATAAATAACATTATCTATTTACCCCTCACAAATCCTGTAATAGTTGTAGATGCCCCCAAATCATATATTTAAAAAACATAATGACACTCGTCCTATTTCTCAAAAATCCACCCCTCCTCCATTTATAGACTAAATGAATGGAGCAACTGAGCAGAAATGGTAGGCATAGCCAGACACTCTTGATGTCACTGCCCCTTAGTTTTATTAACCCCACCACACTGAAAGATTAACCACTTACCTACCAGGCACTTTTACCCCCTTCCTGCCCAGGCCAATTTTCAGCTTTCAGTGCTGTTGCAATTTGAATGACAATTGCGCAGTCATGCAACATCGTTCCCATATGAAATTTTTATAATTTTTTTTCACTCAAATAGAGCTTTCTTTTGGTGGTATTTAATCGCCACTAGGGTTTTTATTTTTTGCACTGTAAACAAAAAAGAGCAACAAATCTGAAAAAAAAAAATTTTTTCTGTTTTTATTATAAAATTTGCAAACAGGCAATTTTTCTCCTTCAACTGATGGGCACTGATAGGCTGCACTGATGAGGTGGCACTGACGAGGCGGCTCTGATGGGCATTGATGAGGAGGCATCGATGATACTGCACTGATATACAGCAATGATGAGCACTGATAGGTAGCACTGATAGCTGGCACTGATGAGCACTGATGGGCGACACTGACTGACGGCCTTGACTGGTGGCACTGCTGGACACTGATGGGTGCAACTACTAGGCAGCAATGCTGAGCAGCACTGATGGGTGGCACTGCTGGGCACTGATGGGCACTGGTGGGTGACACTGATGGGCACTGGTGGGTGGCACTGTCAGGCACTGATGGGTGGCACTGCTGGGCACTGATGGGTGGCATTGCTGGGCAGCACTGCTGGGCACTGATCATCAGGACACTGATCATCAGTACCCTGATTATCAGTGCAGCTCTGCTCTGTGACATTTGCCAGTTATCAGCAGTACTTTCCTCACGTTGTGACAGCGTGAGGAAAGTGCTGCCGATAACCGACAACTGTATTTACTTTGTAATCTGCTGTGATTGGCCTTTTACCTAGTCATGTGATCAGCTGTGTCCGCAAGACACAGCGATCACTGACAGCGCCAGATGCGCACCGCTGGGGGTGCGTTATGGGAGGACGTAATATGACGCCCTCCCAGAAATGGACAACCTCGCTGTAGCCATCTTTTGTCTATAGCGCGGTTCTAAAGTGGTTACGTTGATGGGGGGGAGTTGTTTCGGTGGAGGATTTTGGCGAAGGAGGAGACAGCAGGAAAAGAACACATCTCATAGAAGGTAGGTAACGTCCATTGTTTTGTATTTTTTTGTTTTAGGTACACATATTTTCAGGGATTAGTTAAAATAACTTCCTATCTTTTTCTATATATTTTCATATTTTTTTCACATTTGTCTAGCCATTTAACTATTTTGCTTTTTTGTAGACATTAAAAGTTATGTAGGACCTACACAATGTGCTGGAGATGCACACTTGTTCTTGTTGACTTGCACAATGGGGTCAATTCACTAAGAGAGAAATGCTGCATGAATTTCTGAGTTAAAATAGCTCAAAATATTTTTTTTTAAGTAGTCCATTCACTGAAAAATATGCGTTATTTACTGAAAGCATTAAATATTTATGTTTTATATTTATCACTAAAATTTTGCATTATTTTTGGTGTTGTATTTTCAAGTTTTTTTGTACATGCTAACATTAACATTGCATCAGAGGAAGATAGTTCTGTAAATGCACGAAGAAATATTATGAAACTGTATAAACATTCTGGTGTGCTTTAATTCAAAAACAATCTCCCTCTGGTGAAATGTTAAAATTTATTTTCATTCTTGAGCTCAGGGCAGAACATTTGCACACTAATACATTGTATACTTTTAACTTACAGGCCAGTGCAGAGTTCCCATTGTTATTTTGTAGATTGCTAAAATACTGACTGCCTACTGGCAGGTGATAAATAATGAATGTTTGTGTTCTTTAGGGAATTGATTTTAATGATTTATCTTTTTTTCTTTTTTTTTTTTAAACGAATGTGCAGTATTTACCCCACATTTAATATTTTACTTTGATGAATTGACTCTTTTATTATATCCTGCATATTATGTCATGCATGGGTCACCTGACCTTTATATTTCATGCAAAATCATTTAGTGAATTGACCTCATTATTTTTCACTGCAGCCTGCATTAAGAATAGAGGTGAGTAAGAGACAGTTTGTCAAGACTAATCTATGGGAAGAAATGGCTATTTTTTGAAAATTGTCTAACATTAACTTAACCTGATTAGATCCCAAAGCTTGTATACATTGTCTGTGTTTACCAAGGAATTAAGGTTTAATAAATCCAAGTACAAGCCCACACTGTGTCTATTACAATAACAAGAGACAGCTTTTCAGAGGGACTAATTACAAAATAAATAAATACCAGCTGCCTAAGCCAAAACCTTGGCATGATAGGAGAGAACAGCCTTTTTTACTGTACAAACTATAAATATTAATTTCAGAAATAAATAAAGCACTTTGCAATAAACCAAGTATGTATTCAAGAAATCTGAACTTTTCCAAAGCTGCCCGGGAGGACCAGAGGCACTTGGCACCAGACCAGGAAAGGAGACAGATGAGTGAACGGAGTGCTGAATCAATTAGCACCTGTTTGCCCATGCAGCCTATAATCAGCTGCCCAGAAACACAGAGCAGAATCTCTGATCTGTCTTCAGATGTATCAGAAACACAGAAAGGGGTTGCCAATCCCACCTCAGCTGTACCCGAGATACAGACCAGAATTGCCAATCCTCAGCTTTCTAGAGACACAGTACTGGGTCTCTTGTCCACCTCAGCTGTCCCAGAAGAGCCAAGTGGGTTAGCTGGAGTCTTCACATTAACCCATGAGGGGTCCCTCCACCATCAGGACCTACCACTAAATTGTTGGAGTTTGGTGAGAGGGTTTGCATTCCTTGTGGTTTTTAAAATACATGTAGCACTACCCCTGTAGGGCCCACTTTGTAATTTACATATAGTTAGATAGTTAGTCTGGCTGAAAAAAGACAAAAGTCCATCCAGTTCAACCATTAAAGAAATGGTTATAATCCTACACTCACAGTTGACCCAGAGGAAGGCAAAAAACCCAGCAAAGCATGATCCAATTTGCTCCTGCAGGGAAAAAATTCCTTCCTGATCCCCAAGAGGCAATCGGATATTCCCTGGATCAACTTTACCTATAAATGTTAGTATCCAGTTATAGTCTGTGTATCCAAGAAAGAATCCAGGCCTTTTTTAAAGCAGTCCACTGAGTTGGCCAGAACCAACTCTTGAGGGAGTCTATTCTACATTTCTTTCTGTGAAGAAACCTTTCCGTAATTGAAGATTAAATTTCTTTTCTTCCAGACGTAAAGAGTGCCCCCTTGTCCTCTGTGATGACCTCAAGGTGAATAACTCTACAAGTTCACTATACTGTATGAACCAATGATGTATTCAGGGGTGTGAACATTTTTGAAAAAAACTACTTGTCCAGTGACTAAATCGATGCCCCAATCTACTTGTCCAGATGAAAAAAAATTTTTTTTTAACCAAAACTGTTTTTAAAAGCCCCAAACATTCTTAATATCACCTCCAATTTAAATACAAAAGGGGCTTTATGGAGATTTAAATGTTTAATATTTTTAACATTGCACTGTTTATCTCCTCCTCCCCTCCCTGCCTCTTTCCAGCACTGCACCCGGGGACTAGCAGGGAGGGGAGAGACCTTGGAGTGTAATGAGCACCGATTGGCTGCTCCTCAGGAAAGGGTGAGTCAGGGTTTATCCTTTATCCCTTTTGCTGCCAGAGCCATTTTTGCATTTTTTTCACAAGTTTAAAAATTCATTTTAAACCTGAAGATTACATAAAAAATTATATATTTTCTGAAAGCAGAGACCCTAGAGAATAAAATAGTGGTAGTTTACATGTTTCATGTCACATGATATTACCACAAAATTTCAGTAAATAATACAAGTAAATTAACTTTAGGGCTCAAAAAAAGCAATAAATTACCCTATTTTTTTGTAAAATATAAAAGATGAGGTTGCACCTAGTAAATAGAAATCCCACTTGTCAAACCTTAAATTTGTGCGTGCTCGGGAAATGACAACAAAATTCAGTACCCCGTATTTTCTATAGGTGACACTTTTAAAGCTCCTTACAGATCATCAGTTTAGCGTTATGGAGGAGGTCTGGTGCTAGAATTGTTGCTCTCATTCTGGCGTGCGTGGCGATATGTGACATGTGTATTGCAATTGACATTTTCATGCGTAGGCGCCCCAGCATGTGCTTTTATGTTTGTACTTGCGTATATGTGGGGGTGGAGGGCCTAAATTTTTTTTTCTGGGGGGTGGTATATGCTTGGGTGTAATGTTCATTTTTTACAATAAAAGAACACTTTGTGATGATTTTTGTGGTGACAGGTTCTCTTTATTGAGGCATCCAGGGTCTAAAAGACCCTGCATGTCTCCCCTATGCTCCACTGAATGTAATGCAGTACACATCATGGCTGGGAATCTCTCAACAGGGACCTGGAAGTGACATCATAACGTCAATTCTGGGTCAGAACAAGAAGGGGAGTGGACATGTCCGCTCTCCTCCCTCCCCTCTAGCCGAAGGTGGTGAGCCAGTCCCGGGCCCGTAGATGGATAAGCAGAGCTCGGGATACCTCACAATGGGAAGGAAATTGCTGCCGCCCAAATGCTTCCACCTGACAGGTGAGCCCATTGACTGCCCACTCGGGGCTAAAGGCAGAAAAAAATTACCTGCTCGATGCCCAGAACTACATGTCTTGGGCATTGTGTGAAAGGAATCGAACATCCCTGTGTATTTATACATGTTGATCATATCCCCCCTTAATCTCCTCTTCTCAAGAGAGAATAAATTCAGTTCCTCTAATCTTTCCTCGTAGCTGAGCTCCTCCATGCCTCTTATCAGTTTGGTTGCCCTTCTCTGTACTTTCTCCAGTTCCCCAATGTTCTTTTTGTGAACTGGTGCCCAAAATGGAACTGCATATTCCAGATGAGGTCTTACTAATAAATTGTACAGGGGTAAAATTATATCTCTCTGTCTGGAATTTATATCTCTTAATACAAGAGAGGATTTTGCTCGCTTTAGAAACTGCAGCTTGGCATTGCATGCCATTATTAAGCTTGTGATCTACAAGAACTCCCAGATCCTTCTCCACCATTGATTCCCCCAGTTTTACTCTCCCAAATATGTACAGTATGATGCATGCATATTCTTAGCCCCCAAGTGCAGAACCTTACATTTATCAACATTAAACCTCATTTGCCTCATAGTTGCCCAATTAAACAGTGCATTGAGGTTGGCTTGTAAGTTGGAGACATCCTGTAAGGATGTAATTCTACTGCACAGCCACAGTTTGGTGTCATCTGCAAAGACTGAAATGGTATTTTTAATCCCAGACCCTAAATCGTTTATAAATATATTAAAAGTAAGGATCCCAACACTGAACCTTGGGGTACACCACTAACAACCCTAGACCATTCTGAGTATGAATCATTAAGCACTACTCTCTGAATACGATCTTTTATCTGGTTTTCTAACCATTTACATGTCCGAGCCTGTAGACTTTACCTTACACATTAGCCATGTGTGGGGAACTGTGTCAAATGATTTTGCAAAATCCAAGTATACCACATCCACCGCCACCCCTCTGTCCAAGGTTTTGCTCACCTCCTCATAAAAAGAAATCAGATTTGTTTGACAACTTCTGTCTTTCATGAATCCATGCTGTCTGTTGCTTAAAACATTTTTTCCAGCAAGAATTCATCTATGTGATCTTTTATTAAACTCTCCAGTATCTTCCCAACTATAGAAGTTAAACTAACAAGTCTACAATTACTTGGTAAAGATTTTGGGTTCTCTGTTCTGCGCCTCAACTCTTAGAAAAACCTCAGCTCCTCTGACACACCTAGTTGAATGAAAGTTACTCCAAGAACTTATAGGAACACAGTTGCAGATACCTTTAACTAGGTTGTGAATTGATACCAGGGAATAGATTCAAAACTTTAGTTGTGAATGAACCCAATGTAGTGATACAGGTTAGAATAAATGGTGCTTTGAGTATAAATTAATACACAGAAGGTAGGTTCAGACACAGTCAACTAGGCAGTATATTCACTAGGTAACTTAAAATAGAGTTCTGTACCACTAGACTTGGATTAACTGATGAAACAGCAAAGACAGAAGTAAACAGTGCATATAAGCATTAACTGAAATTTGAATAATAATACTATAACTAGTCAAGAGTGCACTGTAGGCAAATGGCTAGGATATGGTGCAATGTCCTCTGAGAGGTACCTCTTAGCATAAGCAATAAGTGAAGGTCTCTATGTAACAGATGTGAAAGGATAGTCTTTAGTCCTAATTCTCCAGCTGGCTAGCACTGGGGCCCAGTTATACTGTTGGTGCACATGAGAACAGTCTATGTAAAGCCTGCAGGCAGCAATAAGGCTACTAGATGGCTGTATGGTCAGTTCCTAAAGGGCTCAGTTTCTCTAGCAGCAGATAGTATATCCCCACAGCAACATTTCACCAGTCCCAGCGATATTGCAGCTCATCATCCAGTCACACTCAGAAAATAGTCCACTCTCTGCTATCCACCCAGATGACTGTTGGCACACGTGGACCTGCTCAGACTGCCATTATACAGCAGTGGCGGTGCACACTGAAAAGAGATGTGCACTCTCATGGCAAGAGGAAGTTGTATCCTGTACAGCTTGAGAAAATGCAGCTCTTTCCCCTCCTCTTGGTAAATTATCTCTGGGAAATGCGGATCAAAAGCTCTTGATTACAGTAGAGTCTCTCTCCTCTGGACTTTTCTGGGCTACAGTACCACAATGCAGTGCAGCCTGACTCAGTCTATTGAATTCTTCTTGTTTAGCAGCTCCCTCCTCCTGCTGGTATAGCTGTTAAACAAATCAGCACCGCAGAGCAGCAGCTACAGAGAGCAGCTGCAGCCAGTGTTTCCCTCACTCTCCAGTCGTAGCCAAGCATCTACACACAGTTAATCTATTCAGCACCAGTGAATGTCTACTGAATGTCACATTAATTACATTATAAATATACCCCATAGTGTTGAACTGAACACTTTGGGGACTGATTTGTAAAAAGTGTTTTAGGAGGAAAAGTTCTTGTTTTCATAACAACCAGTCAGCTTCCTACATGTTATACAGTACAAACTTGAAAATAATCAAAGATCACATTCTTTTTTTGTCTCAGGCCTCCAATAACGATTTTTCCCCTTAGCACAGGTTTCTTATCTGATTTTGCTCCCTTAGGAGTTGGGGAAGTTGAAGAAATTTATAATATTTCATCTATACATTTTTTCATTAAATTGCATAGTATTTAAAGAAGAATATAGAACTGATATTGTGGACTAGCAATTAGAGATTTAATTTGGATCAACTGTAACATAATAGAAATAATTTTGTTTTGTATATTTTGTTATGTGCCACCTAGTGTCATGGGCAATCCTTAATTCCTGTTCATGCCGGCGATATAGATCAGTAGACTGCCACGTTGCTCCTGCAACAGGACTAGATTGTTAGATCGCTGAACTGAGAGTGTCTGTGTCCAGGTTCTTTTCTGAAGAGGTGTCTCCTATCTATGCCAGATCTGACCACTCAAAATAAAATTGTCAATTAATTTGAAACACGCAGTCAAGTGATGTTTGTTGAAAAATGAGGTGCACCTGCTTATTGCATGACCAGCTATCTGCTGGGCTCATCAGTGAATCCTCAGCTGCTGAGTCTGACGAAACCCTTCAATGTTAACAAGAAAAGCTTCAGGTGGGACAAGCAGGACTTGCTGTAATTGGCAACTGTGCAGTCTGTGATAAATGCATAGCTAGCTAGGCTATCAGCCATTTCACAGATCTGCAGTAGGACTACAAATAAATCAAGGTATTGAGCATAAGTGAATGAGCTGACCCCTAAAAATTAAGTAAATTAGATGTCATACTTCAAATGTTTTCCATAGTGGTTAGCACTTCCGCCTGGCACCACTAGGGTCTTTGGTTCGAATGCCAACCACGGCACCACCTGCCTGGAGTTTGCATGTTCTCCCTGTGCCTCCTGGTACTCTGATTTCCTCACACACTCCAAAGACATGCTGGTAGGTTAATTGGATCCTGTCTAAATTGGCCCTAGTATGTATAAATATGAGTTAGGGACCTTAGATTGTTTGCCCCTTGAGTGTTAGGGACTGATGTGAATGTACAATATATATATATGTAAAGTGCTGTGTAAATTTTTTTTTCTCCAGGCTTTTACCTATTCTTATGGTCTGGGGTCAGGCTTGGAGAGCAGTGGCTGTGGCACTAGAGAGGTAATACAGGTAGTCAGCTGGAAATTTACAAGCAAATCAAAGGGTTTATGGGTCAAGAGAAACATGACACAAAGTAAGGTTGTCCAAGAAATCAGGAATGGAACTTTTCTGCATCTCTGTTGGTACAGTGAGAAGAGCCACAGCCAGACACCACAGAGGTTACAGGCTCAGATCCAGGTCCTGACACCTATATGTGTTGTGTAATGTGGCATTGCTTACCGGTCTATTGTCATGTTGTGATTACTTAGGGAGCTTTTACACTGCCCTGCTTGGGTTTGGCAACAGTGTACACATGGTTGTTGTGTGAGTCACCTGCAGTTTCCCATAGATTTTTCTATTATGCCCTGTGTTTTTGGTGTGTTTTCTGAAAGCACATCAAAAGCCCTGTGTGCAGCATCTTTGGTGCGTGTTCGGAAACATAATAGACATAAGAAGTCTATGGGAAAGTGTAGGCAAGTATGAAAGTGCCCTTATAAAATATATATAAATAGTGATGGGCCGAACACCCCTTGTTCGGTTCACAGTCGAACATTCAAACTTACCGAAAGCTCGACCACGAACTTTGAACAGGGACAATTTACTGAGCAGTATCCTACTGATTCTGAGTATGCGGTAATATACCGCTCAGCTACCAAAATACCGTATGAGTTATATTATTAAGTCATGCAGTATTTTAGTAGAGAAACATTCTTTAATGTTTAAGCTGTCAGCAGGGTTCCCCACTGACAGCTGAATGTAAAAAAAAAATTGTCGGAAATGCCCGACAATTCAATATTTTTTAAATTAAAATGGCGTGGGGTCTCCCCTCCCATCCATACCAAGCCCTTTGGGTCTATTTTGAGGGGAACCCCCTATGCCAACATTTAAAAAACGAATGTGGGTTGCGACTGACAGCCTGGATTTACCATCGATTCCATTAACCACTTGCCTACCGGGTACTTTTACTTTGTGCCAGGCCAATTTTCAGTGCTGTCGCACTTTGAATGACAATTGCACGGTCATGCAACATTGTACCCAAATGACATTTTTATAATTTTTTTCACAGGCATAGAGCTTTGTTTTGGTGGTATTTAATCGCTACTGGGTGTTTTCATTTTTGCACTATAAACAAAAAAAAGAGCAAATAATTTGAAAAAAAAAAGGGTTTTTTTGTTTCTATTATAAAATTTTGTAAACAGGTAGATTTTCTCCTTCACTGATGTGCATTGATGATGCTGCACTGATGGGTACTGATAGGCAGCACTGATGGGCACTGATGAGGTGGCATGGATAGGCAGCACTGGTGGGCACTGATAGGCTGCACTGATGAGGTGGCACTGGTGGGCATTGATGAGGAGGCACTGATGATGCTGCACTGATATGCAGCAATGATGGGCACTGATAGGCGACACTGATGGGCGGCAATGAATGACAGTACTGACGGGTGGCACTGACTGACAGCACTGACTGGTGGCACTGCTGGGCACTGATAGGCGCAACAGCTGGGCGGCATTGATGGGCACTGCTGGGCACTGGTGGAAGGCACTGCTGGGCGGCACTCCTGGGCACTGATCATCAGGGCACTGATGATCAGTGCCCTGATGATCGGTGCAGATTTCTTCTGTGTCATTGGTGGGTTACCAGCAGTACTTTCCTCACACTGTGACAGCGTGAGGAAAGTGCTGTCCATAACCGGCAACTGTATTTACATTGTGATCTGCTGTGTCATTGGACACAGCTGATCACACGGTAAAAGGCTGCTGTGATTGGCCATTTACCTCATCATGTGATCAGCTATGTCCATAGGGACACATAGAGCAGGGCTTGGAAGCAAGCAAGCACCAGTGCTCTTTAGTAAGCGGTTTGCTATTGAGGGCACTGGTCAAGTGGAAGGAGCCAGGAGCACCGGCGGGGGACCTGAGAAGAAGAGGATCGGGGCTGCTCTGGGCAAAACCACTGCACAGAGCAGGTGAGTACTGTATAGACATACAGTATATGTTTTGGGGTTTTTTTTAAGCCAAACCAATATCATTTTAACTTTAAAATCAAACATACTAAAAGAATGATACTTACCTGTCTTGGAGAAAAGACAACTCTGAAATCCATATCAGTCAGTCATGTGACTAAATTCAAGACCAATCTGAAATCTGTGCGAATGGAGACACGGAGCAGAGGGTGCCCCCATAGCAAGCTGCTTGCTGTGGGGGCATCCGACAGGAGGGAGGGGCCAGGAGCTAAAGCAGGAGACCATAGAAGAGGAGGATACGGGCAGCTCTGTGCAAAACCACTGCACACAGCAGGTAAGTATAACATGTTTGTTATTTTTTCTATAAAAAAAAGTAAGCCTTTAGAACCACTTTAAGTACATTTGACAATAAAGCAGCAAGGTGAACAAGAAGATGAGTGGTGTTAATTCTTTAAAAACGCGGCTTAAGGGGAACTAATCTATGCAATCTATATAAGATATGAAAAACTGACAACATTTCTCAAAGCAAATCTCCTACTTTTTTATAATAGGAAATACTTGTTATATTGTCAGTTTAGTGAAGAACACCAAAACAGTGCTGCCAAATCTGCTTTATTTTCTCTATTTCCTTGCTCATATCAAAATCCATTCTTACACCTCAAAAGTAATCAAGGAACACTAAGATAACATTTTATATCAAATATTAGCTTGCTATATTCCAGGAGACATGCTTTAAACCATATTTATTTTGGGAGATACTATAGATTGTTACAAAAGAATTTAAAGCAAACTTGTCCTTTGCCTGTGCAAGGTCAGCTAAACAAATTTGCTTTAATTGCTCCCTCTCCAAAAATGTATACTCATTTTTCCTCCCCTTCACTATTCAGCTGCTGGGAACAAGGAAAGGAAGCATAAACTCTAGTCACAGCTGGGATTGCTTTCTCATCTTCATGTGACAATGCTTAGCCAATTACCAATCACCAAGGCTGTCACATGACAGGAAGGGGAGTGAGTAATATGCTCCTCCAGACCTGGCAGTAACAGGAATTATGCTACCTCCAAGCAGCTGAACAAAGTGGAATGGTAAGTATGCGCTGCTGGAAAGGAAAGCAAATGTGTTTTCCTGCCCTGTAGGAATTAAGCACAGGTTTCCTTTTTTGGCAGCCCCATGCAATGTGAGCATTACCAGGATAATGTCACAAGTTAGCCTGCAGTTTCTTGTTTGTGTATTCTTACCTCCTTGCTGCAGTGCTGTTCCTGATCCCTTTCTCATGTGTGTTTGTCTGTGCTCACCTATGGGCGTCATCTGCTGTTCTTTGGGTTTTATTTCCTTCCCTTACATCACTTCCTGGCCCACCTCCTTGTTTGCCTGCCTATATAAGACATGCTCAGTCTAGGCCACTTGGCATGAGCAACTTCCTAGTTGTCGGAGCTCCTGTGTGTTGCTATCTCCTGTATCCTGCATTGACTACTCGTGTACCGACCCTGGCTTCGTTCTCTGACTGTGCTTGTTTTCCGCCTGTCCTGACCTCGGCTAGTCTATCAGATTTCTGTTTGTCTCCTCCCATTGTACTTTGCTCCTGCGAGCAGTCTCCTAATCCTCAGCTGGGCATACCAGGAGGCCGCGACCTGGTCCCAGCTTGCTGCAAGTCCATCCACACCATCAGGGGCTCTGGTAAAGAAACAGGCTGGGGCTTAGACTCAGTGCCCTGGGGAAACCCAAGTTGACTATCTACAAGTGCTCACTACCACAGGTGCTGACAGATAATACATTCTAGAATATATTAAACTTTTATTTTCCTACCTATTTTCTATTTTTTTTAGCACTACCCCCTTTTGAGCTGCTGAAGTTTTTGGGTCCCCCTATAGTCCTGCACAGCAAAGCAACACGCATTTTCATATTAACTTGTATCCAGGAAACAGGAACCAGCCCTTGAGCTTGTTTTGAAGTTTTATTAGGGGATTTGAACTTGGATAGGGTAAGGGGTGTACAGGATGTCCAATGGAACTGAGAAACTAAGGACAACTTCCTGGAACTATCTACACATTTTTACAGCAAAACAGTTTATTGTGGAGAGCTAGCCAGTTTCTCCTGTAGTACCACCCCCCAGGCCCCAAATGAATCCTCTTCTCATCCAGCTATTTGAGAGAATCCCTGAGCAGATTATCCAGTGCCGCCTGCTACGTTAAAGTAAGACGGTCCTGGATAGTTGCTAATCTAGTTTCCCACCAGAGTGCTCCTTCTGCTATCTAGCTAAGTGGGTGCAGGTCTACTCACTTAGTCCTTCTCCTGTGTTGCCAGTGGGTCAGTGGCTGCTACCAGGCTTTCTAGCTGGGCTAGTCCTTCCCTGCCACACAGGTGAAGTTCCAAGCTTTCCTCCTTTTAAGGTCCTCCTGCCTGGATATGAGCCCCTCTTCCATCTGGGCCCCCTCCCAGGCTCCTGCTCTCCAGCTTCACTTGCTCCTCTTCCACCCAAACTCTCCTCCAACTCTCTTCTTGCTGTTCTGCTGCTGAGCAGGCTCAGTTACTCTTAAAGGCTATCTTGACCCCTTGTCAAGCATCCTGTTGGGAGTACACCACTCCTCACATCTGCCCACTGCTTCTAGATCTTTCTCCAAATTTCTAGGGCAGGGGGAAATTCCAGAGAGGTGGTCTTCAGAGCCTCTCAACTCTGACCTGAATTTGACCCTCCTGGCTATCACGCCCAGGCTGCTACTCAGCCCTCCTTACTAACCATCGAAGCTAGATCTCCCCTAGCTACCTAGGATGGTGCTACATTTATTTTCCTGTTTTTGGAAGGTAACATTAGCTGTCCCATGACCTTCTATAACAGCTTTTTGTCTTCTGCACCTAATATGTTAGGATGTCTTATACTGCGCTACAACATCAGCCCTTGCAGCAGTTCTGAGACTACGCTTCCCAGTGTTCTTAGTCCTCATTGAGTGCTAATTTCCATAAGGGGTTTGTATTTGAGAGAAAATAGATGATGCTAGAATAGACTGAGCGGGGGAAGCCGCTAATGATATGCTATCTATCAAGGATGACAACACTGTTGTTCATGTACCTCCTCTACCCTGTCAGCTGGTTATGCTGTAGTCTGTGCAGACTGTAAAGGTAACAATGCTGCTATGATTTTGAAAGTGCCAAGTGAGCATTGTCAGCATATATATAGAAGTGGCATTAGGAACACAGGTGTAGAATAACCAGTAAGTCATTTGATTTTTTTTTTTTTTTAATCAGACAAAATATATTAAAAGGTTATTTAAAAAAAAAAAAAAAAGTAAGTAGTGTGTAGGGGTTTGGAGGGAGGGCAAATGCAAAAGAAATAGAAAGATACACTTCACTTATCTTTAAAGTTATACACTTTATACACTTCATGTATCTTTATAGCTTTTGCCTTTAGTTCTTTTTTAAAGTGGCTCGAAAGGTTATTTTTTCTTTAAAATAACAAAATGTCATATTTGCTTGCTCTGCACAATAGCTTTGCCAGAGCAACTCCAATTCTTCTCTTCTCAGGTCCCCTACCGGCACTTGTGCCCCCCCCTCCTGAGCTCACTCTGTGCATCTATGGGACACAGATCTTGCTCGGTCCCACCCCTGCTTCCTCTTCATTGGCTGTGATTGCCAATTGCCAATGGCTCCCGCTGCTGTGTCTCAGCAAATAAGGACAGAGAGACCCAGGAAAGCCGAGGCTCCCATGCATATCCCTGGATGAAGATTGGGCTGGGTTAAGTATTGGGGGGGTGGCTGTTGAGGGAGCTGCACACTGAAGATTTTTTACCTTCATGTATAGAATGCATGAAGGTAAAAAACCTTCACCATTTACAACCACTTTAAGGACTGAGCATATACTTTGTACAGGTTAGCAGTTATGGGACCCAAGCTTACAGGTGAAACTCGAAAAATTAGAATATCGTGCAAAAGTTAATTTATTTCAGTAATGCAACTTAAAAGGTGAAAATAATATATGAGATAGACTCATTACATGCGAAGCAAGATAGTTCAAGCCGTGATTTGTCATAATTGTGATGATTATGGCTTACAGCTCATGAAAACCCCAAATCCACAATCTCAGAAAATTAGAATATTGTGAAAAGGTGCAATATTCTCGGCTCAAAGTGTCCCACTCTAATCAGCTAATTAAGCCATAACACCTGCAAAGGGTTCCTGAGCCTTTAAATGGTCTCACAGTCTGGTTCAGTAGGAATCATAATCATGGGAAAGACTGCTGACCTGACAGTTGTGCAGAAATCCATCATTGACACCCTCCATAAGGAGGGAAAGCCTCAAAAGGTAATTGCAAAAGAAGTTGGATGTTCCCAAAGTGCTGTATCAAAGCACATTAATAGAAAGTTATGTGGAACGGAAAAGTGTGGAAGAAAAAAGGTGCACAAGCAGCAGGGATGACAGCAGCCTGGAGAGGATTGTCAGGAAAAGGCCATTCAAAAGTGTTGGGGACTTTTACAAGGAGTGGACTGAGGCTGGAGTCAGTGCATCAAGAGCCACCACACAGACGGATCC